AAAAAATTTCCAGATATGTTCATGGATTATGTCAATAAAAAAACTAAACAACATCTTGGATAAGTTACTTCTTAGCTTTTTTATATATTTATTTCAATAAATGTTTTGTTTGTTGGTTATGGATGTAATTTTTTTTTTATTTACGTGGGGTGTCTGAGCCAGCTTACACGCATCACGACTAATCTCCACGGCCCACTGAACATCCTGCAAGCCCAATGAGCAGGTAAGGCACCGCGGGGGTGACAGGCGTGCATGATGAGGTTCGAACCCAGGTGGGGAGGAAGGGGACAAGCCCCTCCCACCGCTAGGCCAGAACCTCACTTGCAAGCTCACCATATTAGAACTTGAAGAGAGAAGCAAGCTCACCTATGCTAAGGGAACTTACAAAGTTCACCTATGCTACGGGAGCTTATAGTTAATATGCTAGACAAGGAGGTCATGGGATATATCTTTTACTAATAGAAAAGATAGAATTATGCTGGGAGAATTTTTCTTTATTGTGTTTTTTTTTGTACATTGAATACTAATTGACTTATGTTATTTGCCTTTATTTCCAAGTAATTGTTATTGGATTTATCTTTCACCTTTCCGATGGAAGAAAGAAAACACTAGTTATCTTTTTTTTTTTTTAGAAATATAGATGGTTATTTATTTTTTATCAATGGTTAAAATGGAGAAAGTTGGGAGTTTAATAATTGTGATAGCAATAATATTAATAATGAGGATGATAATAATATTGACATACTTGTAGATGCCTATAATTGAGGCTTAATAGGGAGAAGTTTAATGTGAGTACTTATATAATCAATATTTTTAGTTAATATATATTTGTTTTTTAAATTTATAAACTAATTATTTTATTCAAATGATTACAAGGAAAAATTTTGGTGGGATGTTGCAAACTCTAGGGTTGTTAAGAGAGTTTTAGAAAATTATAATACTATTAGGTGAGTGTTAATGTGTTAAGTTTATAATTCTTGGTACAATTATAATTTTTTTTTAATTGTTATATTTTTTTAAGTTTAATGAATTTCTAGAACAAGATGCATGATTCATGGTATAATGTGTACACTTATGCTAAGCGAAAAGTACAGTCATATGACTTTAAGGTGTAGATGAATTTTAGATTTCCCAATGTCACTACAAGTAATTTGAGAAAGATATCTAGAGTTCTTGACATTGAAGGGTTTTAGAAGGCGGTTATGATGTGAGTTCTTGAATAGAAACAAAGAGACTCATAGTTTCATTAGCAAGCATATTGACGAGTCGCTTCTTTTTACTAACCACATAAAGCACCTGGTAAGAGCCTGTTTTATTTTAAAGAATTTCTCTTAATATGATAGTTATTACACTACCAGAAAATTAGAGAACACTAGTGGCATTACTGATGAAATATTTTCATGAAAACTTTTTACCAACATAAATAATTCCGTCTCAAAATCTGTCAGTATTTATCAACCGATATAGTCTGTTAGGAAGACGATCAGTATATATCGATCGTATCACTAATGTCCAGGACACCTTTTTTTTAAGTTGCAACGACGTAATGACGTGGATTTTTTCAGACGATTTTATCTATAGAATTACCGAGAAATTCAAACCGAGATAACCGTGTAGCGGCATGGCACTTCCACCTGCAGAATCACTGATGGGTATATCGACGGAACATGTTTGTTAGTGATTCCATCAGTAACAGTCAGTATATACCTACTCTGCCAACACTCTCTTCCTCTGTTTCTCTATCTTCTTCCCCTTCTTTTCCCCCATCCCACCCCTCCCCTCCCAAACTGTAGCCAAACACCCATCCCAACTCTCCCCTCTTCTCAACACAAGCACTCAAGTTTCTTATATTTTTTTCCGTTGTCACAACATTCGTTCTTGTGGATTTTATCATTTTTTGTAAGTAAATCCATCCTTTTTAGTTTTAACATTTAAATGTGAATTTTATTGTTTTTTAAGTATATGTATTTTGTTAATGTAAGTACTTGTTTGATTGTTAGTTGTCAATGAAACTTGTAGTATGGATGTATAATTTTGTAGTTGTTATAGTTTGTTTTAGATTTTGTCAAATTATATTTGTTTGTAAATTGTTTAAATTTTGTTTAAATTATACCAACTGAATTAGATGTGTTGTGATGAAATAAATAATAGCTTATTTAACGGGTATGTTTTAATTGCTATCAATTCTATTATGAAGTTGTGATTTTTATAAATTTATATATGTATAAATTTGTTTATATGAACATTGATAGTTGATAATTTATAATAAATATTTAACATAAGAAACCAATATTTTTGTTATGTTTTATAGAGATTCAATAGAAGTCATGAATGATCGTTCATGGATGTATCGGGACTCACCCCAAGGATTACGGAGGATGAGTTATTGTAACGGTATTTAGGGTTTTATTAATTTCACAACATCTATCTCGAGAAATTTTACTGATGGCGGTATTAGGTGTCCATACAGGAAGTGTAAAAATTTAAAGTTTCTGTATCAAGATATTGTAACGATGCATCTTCTAACCAAAGGGTTCATAGAGGATTACCTATGTTGGTATGCATACGGAGAACTATTTGTTCTTAATGAGAGTATGGTTAAAATGGTGGTCGGGTCAACTTCTAGTGCTAGCAAGATGCAAAAAGTTGGAAATGAAAACAGTAATCCTTACAAGAATATGGTTATGGATATAATGAGAATGAGGGAAGGTAATGTCAGTGAATGTCCAATTGTAGAAGAAGAACCTAATGTAGATGCAATAAGGTTTTTTGATCTGTTGAAAGATTCTGAAGAACCATTATGGGACGACTGCACGAACTACAATAAATTATTGACCGTAGCATAAATTTTCATCATCAAGTCAAATCACGAGTTGAGTGAAGCTGATTATGACAAGATTATTGAATGGGCTAAAAGAATTTTACCTAAAGGGAACAAGTTGAAAGAAAACTTCTATACTACCAAGTCCATGATGAAACTCTTCGGTTTAGGATACTAGAAAATTGACATGTTCCCTAACTTCTGCATGTTATACTACATTGAAAATGCTAAGCTGACTGAGTGCATGACATGTGGGCATTCCCGTTACAAACCCAGAATTGGTAGAGGAAGACTCTCATGGTATATAAAAAACTTAGATACTTCCCAATCACACACAGACTGTAAAGGTTATTCATGTCACCAAGGATTGCTGAGCACATGACATGACACCAATCATATTATGCGGTTAATGGAGTGATTATGCATCCTTCTGACGGTAAAGCCTAGAAACACTTTAACAGTGTGTATCCTCACTTTTCAGTTGAATCAAGAAACATGCATCTTGAGTTGTGTACAAATGGATTCAACCCATTCGGGTCATTTGCTGCTCCTTATTTTTGTTGGCCAGTTATACTGACGATTTATAACTTATCACCGGGGATGTGTATGAGGCCGAAGTTCATGTTTTTATCTATGTTCATACCAGGTCTGAGTAGTCCGAGTCAGAATATAGATGTTTGTCTTCATGTGTTAATTGATGAGTTGATGCCGTTGTGGTCTTCTGGAACTTTGATTTATGACATCTCGCGAAACAGAATTTTGTTATGAGAGTGGCTTTGATGTGGACTATTAATGATTTCCCAACTTATGGAATGGTTTCTGGTTGGAGCACGCATGGAAAGCTAGTATGTCTATATTGTATGGAGAATAACAAGGCATTCACACTAACAAAGTAGGATAAACCTTCTTCTTTTTTACTATCACCGTCGTTTCTTGCAGCCGAATAATAGGTGCAGAAAGAACAGAAAGGATTTTTTTGTTGGTAGAGTTGAAAAGGATGTTTCACCACATGTCTTTCTGGTGAAGAATTGCTTGATGTTGTGTTAGAGTACGGTGAAATTGTGTTTGGTCTCCAATCAAGTAAGCAGAAGTTTTCTGGTTTTGGTTTGACTCATAAATAGGTGAAGCAAAGTATCTTTTAGGAGCTTCTTTATTGGAAGACCAATCTTCTCCACCATAACCTTGACGTCATGTATATTGAAAAGAACATGTTTGAGAACATTTTCAACACTGTCATGGATGTGAAAGGGAAGAAAAAGGACAACATCAATGCCAGATTGGATGTAACACTGTTCTATAATCGTAAAAATATGGAGTTAGTTTATGATGGGTCACAGGTCCCAAAACCAAGAGCAAGCTTCGTGTTAGAGAAAAGCGTACAACTATTAGTCTATAAATGGCTTAGGAGTCTGTGTTTCCCTGATGGACATACCTCAAACATATCAAGGCTAGTTAATACAGAGAAATGCAGATTATATGGAATGAAGAGTCATGGCTGTCATGTGTTTATACAAACACTCAATCCATTAACTTTTCATGATTTGTTGCCAAAGGGGATATGTGATGCACTAACAGAGATTAGTCATTTCTTTAGAGATATATGCTCTAGCAAGTTGAATGTTGATCACATCAAGAGGCTTGAAATGAATATCATCGAGACAATATGCAAACTTGAGATGATATTCCCTCTATAATTTTTTAACTCAATGGAGCATCTACTCGTACATTTACTATTTGAGGAAAAAGTTAGAGGACCGGTCTAGTATAAATGGATATATCCATTCGAGAGATTAGATATTATAATTGTTATGTAATTCATAATTAAATGTTTTTTTATTTTTT